TGGGGCATGGGCAAAGACTCACTTTTGTGCATCTGAACTTCCTCATCTTCAGGCAAGCTTTCTGAGATTCTAGATAAGGACTCCAGAGGATGGACTCTGATGGAGCTCCTGGAGGCACGGGAGAGACCTGCACTGCGGGAACGCGTCAAGCTGATGGCCGTGCTCGGCTTGCGGGCCGTGGTAGGCAGAAAGATTGAGCTGACTCTGGCCACGCTGAGGCCTGTGTGCAAGTCTCTGGAGCTGACACGAGGGTACTCCCCATGGCGGAGCTCTCTGCGGTGGTGCTCACCAGGATGGCCATGGTGGCCGCGGTGGTGCTCACTAGGGTCTTGAGATATGCCATGGTGGGAAGAGCTCTCTCCATGATGAAGAGGCCTTCTGTGGTGGTGGGTTCTATGATGATGGCGCTTGCTGTGGTCGTAAGCATCAGAGTGATGGGACCCACCTAGTTCGGAGGACGCACCGTCTTTAGAGAGGGAAGGCTCACCTTCGTGATGGAGCCCACCATGATGGCAAAACTCTCCATGGTGGTGGAACCCCCTTGGGTGGTAGGATTCACTAAAGTGGTGGGGCTTACCTTGATGTCTCCTGCTACCACGGCGGTGCTCATCATGAATGGGTACCTTCTCAGAGGTATGGTGGGAGAGGTCAGTGGCATGAGACCCATTCGAGGCCAAGGTTGTGGAGGGGTGGGGGGAGTGGCGGGAGAAGGCACTGTCAGGGGAGTCTAGGTGAGATTCACCATGATGATGGGACACACCATGGCGCTGGTGATCATGGGGCCTAAGATGGCGACGGGCTCCACTATGACCTGGTCTGTGGTGCGTGGCTGATGAGCTGGGCTGAGAGGGCACATCCAAGTCACTGGTGTCTGTCTCGTTTTGAGCCTTTGCTGCCATCGAAGGTTAATCAATGACTATGCTGGGAACCCTTGAACAAGAAGAGCTCAAGGCATAGGCCTAGCAGGATCCTACCTGGCTTGTCCTTCTCACCTAACCTGTGGCAATGGGGTTTCCAGGAAAGCCCGACTCTTCTCACAGAATTCTCCCCTCTATGATGTCACCAGCAGGCCCCCTCCCAGGCCTCATTTTCAAATGCCTCCTGCTGGGCTATATAGTTCAGAATCAGAGCTCGTTGTGTCTAAACCCTTCATTGTAAAATTAGGAAACCAAGGTCAAGAAAAGGGAAGGGAATGGTCCAACGTGAGCCATCAGGTCAATGGCAAAGCTGGACAAAGAGCAGAGAAACCTCCTATCACATACAGAAACCTTGTGGTTTTGCCCTTCCCATGGGTTCACAGAGAAAGCACCAATTTTCTTGGGGAAAAAGGCTGATCGGATCTATAGGCTGGGCCATCTTATCTAGTAAGGACTCCTCCGCTGATTGCTTCCTGATGGGCATTTACATGGGACATGAATGTCTTCCGTGCTATATTTTAAGAAGCCACAGACCTCTCTCCTAGACTATCATGGCATCAAGCTCCCAGCTGTGTTCTTTCCAAGTCTCTGCAAATCGCCAGCCCATTAGATATTGCTCATGAGTTCCTATCAGTCTGCACCACAGGCCACCCTTCCTTCCGCACCAAGTGGGTAACACATGTGCTGTCTGATATTCTGCCCACGGGGAGGATTTTTCTTTCCTTCACCACCATCTTTCAGGGACCCCTCGAAATAGGCGGTACACAGAAGCTGTCCACTCTGGCTGGCACTGGCTTACTGTGCAAAGCCTTCCATAAATCAGACCTGTCCTTTCGCCTCTTCCCCTTGAAGCTATTGAGTGTAAACTAAGGGAGAGGAGGTGAAGCCATAGAAACAAATGCCATGGGGACTCCCAGCACCCGCTTTGGTGGTTCATTGTGCCTTCTGGATGTGCTTGGGCCCAGCAATGCATACACCACTCCAGTTTCCAGTGAGATGCAACTGTGCAAATCCAAGCTCACGATTCTGTGGCTCAGAGAACACTCGGTTCATGAGGAACATTTGGGTCCGATAATCACTTGGTGTCCATAAATCAGGCATTCAGTCTTTATCACAAGCCTGAAGCTACTTTCCAGAAGGTAGAAGAATCGTCGGCAGAGGCTAGCAAGGCCACGACTCCTCGGGTCATAGCTATGATACTCCTCTTGGGACTTGCCAGAGGCACCACATGGCATCTTTGGCCGACACCTCAGTCAGGCACGTGGATCTACCAGGCAGAATGCCCAAGTGTAGGGCAGCTTGTATCACAGCTTGGACTGTTGAAGAGCCTTTTTTTTAGACCCAGAGCTAACATAGTCAGATTTATATGCTACCTAGTAAATGAGTCAAAGCACCTTGTCTAAAGGTGATATATGTTGGCTCCAAAACCCAAAAGACATACCACGCATTGCTCCTGTTTAGGGTGTATGATATAGGGGACAGGATCTTGTCTCTCACATTAGAAGATATCTGACAGCCCAGCTAGCATGGCTCAGTAGTTGAGCATCGACCCATGAACCAGGAGGTCACGGTTCAATTCCCAGTCAGGGCAGGTGCCCCGGGTTGCGGGTTTGATCCCCAGTGTGGGGTGTGCAGGAGGCAGCTGATCGATGATCCTCTCTCATCATTGATGTTTCTATTTCTCTCTTTCCCTCTCCCTTCCTCTCTGAAACAATAACAATTTTAAAAAAACAACAACATGAAGATATCTGACATTCCCAAGAATCTGGTCCCCTAGGAACTTTCCTGATATGGCAGGCCCTTGAACTTCCACATATGTGTGACTTTGGCACACATATGTCTAAGCCACCTACGATGCTTGCTGTTTCCTGCTCACAGAGTTCAGTCAGCATCATGGCTTCAATTGAATGTATCAGCATAGTGTTCTCTGTGTGGTTAAGACGATCATGACTCTGGACCTTGCAGTTTGCAGAAGAGTTTCAAAACCCAGGGCAAGGCAGTAAAGACATGTAAATGCAAACGGAGTGTAATTTCCCACACTCGTGGGCATGTAAGAGAAAACATGAGTTCAAGAGCCGCACACCGGTCTCTGGGGTTTATATTAATTTTCTCCAGTAAAGATCAAACCTAGAATTGTGGTTACGATTGGCCTCAGCACATCATTAAGTTTCCTTTTTCGCCCGCAAAAAGGTGAGTTACAAGGGTATGTGGCTGGAATCGCTACCCTTGCATCCTCATGTCCTGGGTGGAGGCACTCACCTCTGCAGTTTCTACAGGGTTCTGGTATTGCTTTTGGTTTGTAACTTGGCGGGAGTGGGAGGACAATTCCAGGGATATCCACTTGGGGAGGATTCTGCCAGCTACTGAGTACTCATCTCCCAATGAATTCTGGGATGGGGGAAATAACCACAGCACAAGTCTGAGGGCCTCCGGAGTGTGGACTTTAATCTCTAACAGTCTTGGGTGCTAATTGGCCTCCATGGGTATAATATTCAAGTTCACATCTGGAGCTGCAGGGGATTTGCACAGTGTCCTTTTAGCTAAACTGAAACCATGTTTCCCAGAATTCTCTTCCCTGTGGTCCTGACTTAGCGAGGGCCACAGGTGACATTTTGTGCAAGACTTGGAGAGTGGACATGAAACAGGAGTTGTATCCTTTTCCGCTAGGAAGGTGGGCGCAGGGCCACCAGGAGCAGTTGCAGCTCACTCACGGAGACCCTAACTTGCTAGCTCACCCTGTTGGCTGGGGGGGGGGGGGGGGGGGGGGGGGGGGGGTGCTGCAGCTGGGTCCGCCGCTCCTCCAGCTTTCACCAGATCCCCCAGTTTCTGTCACTCCTATTCCAGGTGTGCTTAGCTCCCTGAGAGTGTGCCAGCTTTTCCTGAAGGGCCAAAGAGTAAACATTTTAGGCTTTGGGAGCTAGACAGCCTTCACTGCAACTGCTCAACTCTGCTATTGTAGTACAAAATGCCTCAGAACAATAAGCAAATGAATGAGTGTGGCTGTGTTCCAATAAATCTTTATTAAAAACTGGTGGTGGGCCAGATTTGGCTTGTAGTTTGTTGACCCCTGGTCTAGGTGAACAACAAAACAATAGGTCAATCTCTGATTTGCAGTGTTTGATGATCTGTAGTGTAGCTACTCCCATCATGGCTGATTGCACGTTGCCAATGTAAGGCCACTGAACGCTGTCTGTATGAGATGTGTGTAAGTAGCACACCATTCCACAAGATTTGCACCAGATACATACAATAGATATAGATATGCTTAAGATATAAATAATAGTAAAATCTAGTAAGCTAATTAGAAAGTAATGAATTATGAGCATTTATTACCTTTGTTGCTGCTATAATTGATTTAATGGTCAGTTTACATAATTTCATTTACATAACCTTTCATTTAATGTTTCATGTAATTTCATTGTGTTCAACCACTGGCTGATAAAATTCAGCTTTTAAGAAAATGGTGGGTAACCCAGTGTGGCTGGGGGACAATGGAGGTGCAGCTGAAAGGTTATTTTTTTGGGGTGGGGGTGGGGGTCAGGCTAGGATGGGCCCTGTGGGCCTGGCAAGGGAGGGCGGTGTTTCAACAAGGGAGTGAGAGGATCAGGTGGCTTCAAGCAGGGTCACTCTGCACACGGAGAGGAGACTGGGTTTGTGTGGGGAGCCTGAGGCAGTAGGTCAGTTAGGAGGCTGCTGATGTAACCAGAGGAGAAACTGATGGCTTGGACTAAGGCAGACGTTGTGGGGAAAGAGAGGTGGCAGATGTCAGTTATTCGGACGGTACAGGACATGGTGACGCCGGGGAAAGGGTGAGGGAGACATTGAAGAGACACCAAGAATTGGGGCCTGAGTATCTGCTTGAATGGGGGTGCCAGTACCGAAACAGAGCTGGAGACACAGGTGGGATAGAGGACTCAGGATCTTGCCTCTTGTGGCTCCAGTGCATGGGAGTGTCCTCACTCCTGCCTCTGGCCTGGCTCTCGGCCACCCCTGGAAGCCACACCCCCTCTCTGTAGCTCAGTCCCCCATTTGTAATGGGGTATTGGACTGTGACTCCAGTGCCCGGCCAGTGTTCTGAAAACCCCATGAAATTGGGATGGGGGTGGAGGAGGCTGTTCCTGTCCTCTTGCTCTCCAGTCCCCTTTCCACTCCACTAGCTTCTCCTGGGAAGCTGCCCAACTGTGTTGGCAGATTGCCACCTTCCTCTCTCTGTGCCCTGCCTTCCTTCCTCCCACTCAAGCCCAGGGGGCTGATCTAAGAAGGCTCTTTAATAATGAGCCTGCAGGGATTGCTGGGTGTGTGAGAGCGGGTGAGACAATATATCCCAGTGGTGGAAACTGGGGCTTGGGGCCCCAGCGCTCTGCTCTGCCTCTGTCATAGCGCGGCTTCTCCCAGCTGGGGAAGCCTGGGCACTTCACCGTTTTTGTACCTCAGTTTCCCCTTCTGTGAAAGAGGTACAAGAATAACACTTATCTCATTAGTTGTAAGAATGAAGTTAAAAAATATAAAGCACATAGAAAAGCAGCCAGCACCTAGCAGTGCTCAGTAAACATTAGCTGGTGCCACTGCTCTTGTCAATGTGCCTTCTCCCAGCAGCACTTGCACTTTATTAAAGGCCTTTCTCCTGCCAACTCAGGGACTTCCCATCGTCTCCAACCGCGGTCCCTACCTCGGGTGCTGCTGGGTCAGGGATGGGCTACAGAAGGGCTGATGGTGATCCCCTCTGCCTGGGGACAGCCGGGCATCTCTGTCCCTGCTGGTCATCTCTGGCCATTCCTTTTACTCCAGTGTCCCATGCCGAACAACCTGAACTTCTAAGCATGACATTCAAGGCCGTTCACAACCTGATGTCAGTGCTTCTGTCTGGAGTGCCCTCCCCGTCCCTGTTCTCAGCTGGGATATCCTTCCTCCAGGGAGCCTCTTAAGACACCCCTATCCTCCTCTCTGCTCCCACCTCACTCTGCACATCCTTCGATGACCATCAACATCAAGACTGCTGCTTGCCCACATAATGCCTTTGGGTGAGAAAAGGCACCCTTACTTCAAAATGCTTTCTACCACCTGCTGGGAAACTTTTAGAACTGATGTGCCCGCCAGTAGCATCTACAATGTGGAGGGTGTCAGTCCTGGAGGAACCCTGACAGAGCTTTGGGAACATTCCCATGTGCCAGGCACTGTGCTGGGCGCCTCATGTCAAATACTGTTCATTCCCCACCAGGGAAATGGTTCATTTCAAAGGCGCGCAAAGTGAGGCTCAAAACCTAAGACCAAAGTCATGTAACCAGTAAGTGGCACAGCCAGAGTTGGGGCTCCAAAGCACCTATGGAGGCAACGGCCTCCATCGAGCCCTCACCCCGGCTGCTACTTGTACATCTGCCCAGAGGTTGGCGTGAGCTCCTCCAGCCGGGACCACATTTCACCTGCTGCCAAAGCTCTGGAACCCTGTAGGGTGGGCACAGAGTGAGCAGCATCACGTGTGTCGATGGAAGGAGCCTCTTTGCAGAGCATTGGGGTCCCAGGGGCTAGAGCCTATTCCCCTGGGATGTGGCTGAAACTGGAGATGTTTGGACCAAGGTGCCCCAGGGGCCCCTTGCTCAGCCACTGAAGGCTAACATTCAATTCGGTGCTTACTTAGGGTCTGTCCTTGCTCCTACGTCAAAGGAGAAACTGTCTCCCAGGGCCTGATGTTCCCAGTTAGTCCCTGGATCCAAATTTTTCTGAGTCCAGAGTCGTGCTCTCTGCTGAAATGGGGCAGGTTTATAAAGGAGCCCGCAACTGAGGTACGTGCCCTTGACTGGAATTGAACCCGGGACCCTTCGGTCCACAGGCTGATGCTCTATCCCTGAGTGTGACCCTGAGTGTCACATAACTTTTCCAAGTCTCAGTTCCCTCACCCATGAAATGGTACCTATCTCATCCTATATAATAAAAGCCTAATATGCTAAGTGTCCAGTCGTCCAGTTGGCCATTCAACCAATCAAAGAGTAATATGCTAATAATATGCTAAGGCCGCTCAACTGCTTGCTATGACATGCACTGACCACCAGGGAGCAGATGCTCTGACCAGTAGATTAGCTTGCTGCTGGGGTCCTGCCAATCTGAACTGAGTGAGATGGGTTGGACATGCCCTGGAGCTCTCCCATGGTCCCTCTCTGGCTGGCCAACCTCCCACATCCCTCCCCGGCCCCAATCATGCATCGGTGGGCTCACGGCTGGCAAGCACAGTGGCAGTGGTGGTAGCCTCTCCCGCCTCTGCAGCAGTGCTAAGGATGTCCGACTGCCGGCTTAGGCCCGTTACCCACGGGAAGCAGGCCTAAGCCGGCAGTCAGACATCTGCTGAGGGCTCTTGGACTGTGAGAGGGCACAGGCCAGGCTGAGGGACCCCCTGCCAGTGCACGAATTTCATGCACTGGGCCTCTAGTAATATATATATATAAATCCCTTAAACAGTGGCTGGCACATAGTAGACCATGTTAGCTATGCTTACTTGTCCAGATATCCAGATACGTCAATGTAACTGTCCATTGTAAAGTAGAAAAGAAAGTAACAGAAAAAGTCCTGATTCTCTGCTAATTTTAAGAGAGGTGTCATTTGAAGGTGCTGAACACCTTACTATACTAAAGGACGTTAGGGGCAGGGAATGGTCCTCATTTACGTCAGGATTGTCTCTCCTTGTGGGAAGGAAGGCCGGTGGTAAAGGCAGCGACTCAAAAAGAGGAGGTGAAATTCTGAGTTCAGCACCTCCCTACCTGGAAAGATCCTCCTTCTGGCCTCCACTCTGCCCAAGGAGCTGCTATTTGGCTCTACCCCCCCCCCCCCCCCCCCCCCCCCCCCCCCCGTCCTTCCTCTTAGGTAACTGTCTGCTCCAGTTTCAGCGTCTCCCCATGAGCCCCATAAGGAGAAGGGCTCTAGCTGCCTTGTTCACCTGCGTCCCTGTTCGAGATGATGCTCAATAAATGTCGCTGAATTGAATGAAAATGATTTACATTTTCTCAAAGGAAATGAGTGGGCTGAGGTGGTGAGCCTCTGGGAAGAGCAGGGGAGGAGCCGGAGGCGGGTCCTGAACCTCCTGGTGACCACAGCTACCCTTGGGCACCTGCCTCAGCAAAGGTGGGGAATCTGGCTTTCAATGACTGCCATCTAACCTGCACATTTGAGAGATATTTTTATTAAAAAAAAACAAAAAAAAACAAAAAGCCCAACCCAAGAACTCTTGGTTCTGGGAGTCTGGGAGCAGCTTAGGTCTGTGGTGAGAGTGGAACCTGGAAGACAGATGGTGTGGGGACCCCTGTGAGGAGAAGCAGGGCCTCCGGGAGGCTGGCAGCGCAGCTCCTCGCTGCAGCCCGGGCCCACCTGCTTGGAAACTGGCGGAGGGCTCAGCCCCAGCCATGGGTGGGGCAGCTCCGGGCGGGTCTCAGACCCCCAGCTCGGAAGGAGGGGACGCCCCGGGCTCCACCGGGCCTATCAGCTCCCTCCTGGGGGAGGGGGTTCAGCCCACCCCAGGGAGGCGGGCTCAGACAGGCTCCCCCGCCCCCAGTACAGCGTGGGGCTTAAGCCCCTCGGAAGAAGGGGTCCTGATGCGGCAGGACCTGGAGGTAGCCCCCAGCCCCAAGGCCTGACTCCCAGAGCTCAGTGGCCTTGGGGGCCGCGGGGCAGCGCCCGC